AATTTTTAAAAAAATAAATGTGATAATACTATAAACATACTAGTATTTACCTTCAGCTTGCTTTTTAAGCTTAATATAACTTGGGATATTGTCAGTATATACAGATCTCATTCTTTTTAAGCTCTGCATAGTATTTTACAATATGGATATGCCATAATTAATAATTCACTATGAGGGCCGGCCTGTGGCTCACTTGGGAGAGCGTGGTGCTGACAACACCAAGCCAAGGGTTAAGATCCCCTTACCGGTCATCTTAAAAAAAAAAAAAAAAAATTCCCCATGAGTTTACAATTTTGTTATTCACTGGTGTTTCCATTTTTTCACCATTTCCAATATTGCAATGGATATTACTGTAACTTCCAATTATCACACATAAGTATTTATCTAGGGTAGATGTAGAGACATGGATTTGCTAAATCAAAAGGTATGAGATTTTAACATTGGTAATAGAGGAACCCTGCCAAAAAGCTCTTCCACCAACAGTATTTTTGCTTATACTTTTACTAATACAACATTATCAATCTTTTCAACCTTTGACAATCTGATGGTTTAAAAACAATGGGGGATTTCATTGTTTTAATTTGTATTTCCCTGGTGGTGTTATTAGCACTTAAAATAGTTTTTAATTTCCTTTTTTATTTCCTATGTAAGCCCAGAGTTATTAGGAAGAATGATTGTGAACTCCAGGTGGGTGGATTGGCTGGGAAGGGCGGTTGGCTCTCCTATTGTTTTTAGTTTCTAATTTTATCAAATTGTGATTAGCTAGTGTGGCTTGCATGATTTCTGCTTTTTGGAATTTGATGAGATATGCTTCATGATCTAATTCTTGGTCTGTTTTTGTAACTGTTCCATGTATGCTTAAAATAATGTATATTCTTTGTTTATTAGATACAAATCTCTATGTTAGTCAGATTAGGTTCATTGGTTTATGAATATCCTCTCTATCCACATATTTTCAGTCTTCTTGGACTGGTAATTTCTGGGGGACGTATGATAAAAATCCCCTTTATGACATGAATTTTCTAAATTTTCCTTGTATTTCTATTAGTTATTGCTTTATGTGTGTGTGTGTGTGTGTGTGTGTGTGTGTGTGTGTGTGTGTGTGTGTGTGTGTATATATATATTTATTTATTTTTAAGGATGACTGGTAAGGGGATCTTAACCCTTGACTTGGTGTTGTCAGCACCACGCTCTCCCAAGTGAGCTAACCGGCCATCCCTATATAGGGATGGCCGGTTAGCTCACTTGGGAGAGTGCGGTGCTGATAACACTAAGGCCAGAGGTTCAGATCCCTATATAGGGATCTGAACCTGTGGCCTTAGTGTGATCAGCACCGCACTCTCCCAAGTGAGCTAACCGGCCATCCCTATATAGGGATCTGAACCTGTGGCCTTAGTGTTATCAGCACCGCACTCTCCCAAGTGAGCCACGGGCCGGCCCTATTGCTTTAAGTATATTTTCATGTTATGTTAAGTACACAAAGGTTTGTGAGTGTTTTAGCTTCTTGGTAAATATCTTGGTAAAATATTCCTCTTTGGTCCTTACAAGTTTTTTTTGTCTGATATTTATATTGCTAAAAGTATTTTCCTTATAATAGACTTTGCCTGGAATCATCTTTATTTTCCAACTTCCTGGGTCCCTTTGAATACATGAGCTTGCAATGTCCCTAGCTTTTGCAGCAGTTCTTTGCTGTGATCACTTTGGACTGTGGTTTCCTCATCAACCTGATAATCCTACCTGCCTTCTGGATGTTCTTTTTTATTTATTTATTTATTTGGTGGCTGGCTGGCACGGGGATCTGAACCCTTGACCTTGATCTGAGATTCCTAATTATCTCTTGTCCATACAATAGTATATTTTGTTTTCTAGCATTATTATAAATTAAAATGTGGGGTGGGGTGGGGGGTGTTTTTTGTTTTAAGGCAGGAAGGAGAGATGATATTATATGTTCAGGTCACCATCTTGATTCAATCCTATGCTTTCCTTAACACCAGATTTTCTTCCCCATCTCTACTCCAAAACACCTCTTTCTTTTCCTCTAGCTTGGTTGATCTGGATATTGAAGGCTGTGAGAGATATGGTATAGAATAGTTTGTATATATGTTTAGTCAGCATGCATCCTTGAAAAGCTACTTTAGTCTCCCTCTTTTGTGGCTTAGAAGTTGATTTCAGGCTGAATGCTACAATTTGTGTTCCACTAGCATGCATTATTTAGTAACAGCTTATGCAGCTCTGTGTTATCATCTTTCCCATCTCATTCCCAGAAAGATCTGCTTAATTTATAAAGAGTTCATTTTAGACAGCACTACTAGTGACATCACAATATTGCTACTCTTCTGAGTGATTTATTAGTAAAACAAGTATCCTGTTTCTTCCATGGAAAAAATATGTTTAAAGGCCGCTGACTATGCTATTGGCAAGGCCCAACACAAACTAGTTGCTATGTAACTCTTAGTGATTTGGGGCCATTAAAGGGAACATTTACAATGTACTATTTTTAAAGTTGGAAAAAAAAACCTTAATTATTCATGAAGGACTTGCACTTTATCTGCCTTCTTATTTTATTTAAAACATTCTCACCTTATTTTCTGTTTTATCTTTATGCATGAAATACAGAGTTTATCTTCATTTTATAGGTCATCAAATTTCAACAATAGGTTCTCAGACTAAAAAGAGCATTACGGTTAATTAGTTTAGGCCCATCATATGACATTTGAGAGGTTCTGTGACTTGCCTAAGCTCATCCACTGACCTGCAGCAGAGCTGACACCAGAATATGGGTGGCCTGACTCCAGCATTCTAGTTACACATGCACTTATATTTACAAAAGAGTTTTTAAAATCACACCTCATCTGAAAACTACTAAAAATGCCTGGAAAGAAACTTGATGGCAAACCTCAATTTTTATAGGAGGAAACATTGAGTGGGAGGGATGAATTAACGATTTGCCACAAATAATTCACATCAGGAAATGTCAGGAGAATAACTTGTGGTCTTTATAATCAGGCCTCTGCACCTAACAGCCTCTCCATTTTCCTGCCAAACAAATGCACTTTTTAAAAGGACAGAGCTGCTTTTCAAGAAACTATTTCTTGTTGAATCCCTATAAGAATACAAACTATTGATTTGTTTTTAATTATTAGAATCTGTCTTCTTGATTTTTGGTGACCTTAAGAAAAAACCAGCAAACTCTAAGAACTAGGTAATCCATTTTAAATTGGAAGTGATCTAACCTGTTATCACAGGTAAAGTAAAAGGATGAATCACAATGTTGCTTTAAATTCTTTCCAGCTCTTTGCTTGTTTCCTCTTGTGTGGAATTTTATTTATTCATTAATCTATCCCAGCTCTTGTCCACATTTAGCACTAGGTCTTTGTGCTCTGTATAGTACATCCAGTAGAGCCTTCTCTCTAGAATAGCTCTTTAGACTCCAAGGAATGGCAAACTCTTTCAGACTCTAAGACTCTGAAGGTCTGCAAATTATGGCCACAAGTTTTTGTAAATAAAAGTTTCATTAGAATACAGCCAGACCCATTCACTTACTATGGTTGCCTTCCCTGCAAGGGCAGAGCTGAATGGAAATGACACAGACTGTATTACCTGTAAAGACTAAAATATCTACTGTCTGGCCTTTACAGAAAAAGTTTGCCAACCCCTGCATTTGTAATCTACTTATTGCCTTTTATGACCAAGCTGGAGTTGAGCCAGTGTTGCCTAAATGACAAATGCATCATGACAAATGTTCATAGATCTGCAAAGTGCTAAGCCAGTCATGGAAGTGTTACAGATTCATAGGCTTAGCTAATATGTAACAAGCAGTAATGATTTATGTTTGTATGGCACTTTATATACTATGAAATATTTCATATATTTTATCTCATTCAATCTTCCTTTTCCATGACGAAAAAGAGACATTGCATTTTATCCTAGGATTAAAAGGAACTCATATTCAATGTTTTCAATCTTTACTTTTAGCAGTTGAAATGATTTATCTCTGAAAAGCAGTTACCTCATTAAAAAAAGAAAATGGAGCGGTTATTAACATTTATCATCTTATGATGCATTGACTTGAGACAATATATTGGAAAATCAACTTTCAATTAATTGTGATTTGTAATAACATGTTCTATCTTCAAAACATATTTTTATGTCAGTATAATGGTAATATAAATACATAAACATTTTATCCAATGGTTTAAGAAATCAAAATAAATATGAACCTAATTAAGTCGTAAGTTAAAAATACAATCTTAAATTTTTGAAATCTTAGAACCTGAAAGATGAGTCAGTTATCTGTGTGGGCTTTTTGTTGTTGTTGTTGTTGTTTTTATTAACAAAATTGAAAAAAACAGCTCTTGGAGTAGCAGAGAAAAAATTCTTAGTAAGAATATGAATATATATATAAACTTGGGAAAAATAGTGAAAAGTTGATATAGAGCTCTATAAATGGGTCAAACCATGTTTACTACATATTTCAGTGGTCTCTACAAACCTGTAGACGACTATTATGATCTGTTTCTTGCGTCATCCAAGCACTGATCTTCTGTGTGATCACATTACTGTAATGGTGAATACATGTCATTATACATTTGTCAAAACCCATAGAATATACAACACCAAGAGTGAGCCCTAATGTGAACTATGGACTCTGGTGATGATGATGTGTCAATGTAGGTTCATCATTGTAACAAATGGACCACTCTGGTGGGGGCTGATAATGGAGGAGGCCATGCCTGTGTGGGAGTAGGAAGTGTTTGGGAAATCTCTGCAACTTCTGCTCAATATTGCTGTGAACCTAAAACTGTGCTAAAATATATAAAGCCTATTTTAAAAAAATTAATGTAATGAGCTAACAAAGGTCACAATTCTGTATCTTGCACAGAAACTTTATAAGTGTGCATTAAAAAAATTGGGTGGGGTTGGGGGGATACATGGATACAAGAAAAACAAAGGCTTAGAATCCTTCCAGGAAAATGAACCCAGAGCAAAAATGAACTTACTTCACACCCAGATTGTGTTTCCCATGAACACGACTCCTTCTCTTCAGGGAGAACCCCTCTTTGGAAAGCATGGTCACCCAGGCATGTTTGACACAATGAAGCCTCAAAGTCTGGCTCCCCTGGAGGGATGTGTACCACTGAGGGGCCAGTGTACTTCAAACTTGGACTCTGATGCTTGTCCACACTGACCATTGGGCTCTTGATCCATCTTCGTACCTACAATGTGCAAAAGCAAAGAAAAATCAAATGTATTTGACTTCCTTTGATATTTAATAAAGCTTTAGCAGGAAATTCTGCTCTCATAAAAGGAGAATTCAGTCCCACAATCTGTCTTCCAAGCCTTAACCAAATTCAAATCAGTCAATGCTGATCAGTCACTTTCCTGGAATGTGTATTATTTGGCTGGTCATTTCATCTCATTGAGTTTGTCTCCTCATTTGTAAGATTGAGGTAATAATATTTCCTTCCAGATTGTGAAAATTTTGCAATGTTTTAACATGTGCAAGTACTTTGCCTGGCCCATAGTTGGTGTTCAATAGATAGTGCCTATTTTACTTCAACTCTTACTGTTATAACTATGCTGACAGAATGATAGTTCACACATTTCTGAGGTGGATTGCTAGTTATTCTTACTAGGGAAAAGAAAATACTAACCCCATAGCTTAGGACCTAATTGTTGCTAAGCAAATTAATATAAATTTCACTACTGCAAAGAATTGATAAAAGAAATTGCTTCTGGCTGAGAAATTATCTTGTGTTTGTTTTTAAAGTTTTTTTTTTTAATTGAAATAGTTGATTGTACGTATCTGTGGAGTACAAAGTTGAATATCAACACCTGTATGCCATATGTGATGCTCAAATCAGGATAATTAATATATTTAACATTATGTTTTTAAAGTTCTAAAGCTCACCACTTCTCTTGCCTGCATGTAGAAATCCTGTAAGATATAGAAAAAATAAAGCTATTCTAATATTAAGAGATATTTATATAGCACTTCAAATATGAAAAACACTGTTTTAAATGTTTGACATGAATCACTTGTTAATCTTCAGAACAGTATTACAAGATAGATACCGTTATCGATCCTGTTTTACAGATAGAAAAACAGAGGAACAGAGATGAAGCAAATTACCCCTGGGGACATTACTGGTATGGAGCAAAGGCAGAACCCAGGCACCTTGAATCCAGAGTTTACAAGAATGCAATTTCTAACAAGTGTTGAAGTGCCGTAAGACTTATGGCCATCAAATTCTTGAAACTTATTCTGATTTAATAAGTCACTTCCATGCTCTTTAAAACTCCTGAAGATTCTTTTATTGTTAACCAATTAGTGAAATTAGCATATAGCAAAAAGATGAACAAATAAAGTCACAGTACTGAATTTTAGTAATGCTACAATTAGATGTTTAAAAATACACTGAGAATAAACTAAAATTGCAATACCAAAAGAGTGTTTAAGTAATTTTTTATATTACTTGATGGAATATGATACCATCACTAAAAATAAGTATTATGAAGACTCTGTGAAAATATGGGAAATATTTAGAGCATAATTACATGAAAAAAGCCAAATACAGAATTGTTTAGTTGCTATAATTACAAATGTAAAAAATATGTACTATCTATAGACAAAGCAAGAAAGTAATAGGCAAAATAGAAAACTGTTGTATCCATTGTTAGGATCATGGGTGTTTTATTTTTACTCTTTTACAACATCTTGTCCTTTAATTTTTTTAAAAATAATTTCTTTTAAAGTTTATCTTAAGCAATTAAAGTTTATCTTAAGCAATTAAAATCATCATATTTCTTTCTTTGGCTACGTATATATCTTTCAATTACTTTATTTGCTTTATTTATATGTACTCTTTTCAATTGCCATTTAAAATATCTTTTTGAGTTTATTATCCTAATGTTAAAATTTGGAAATTTCCATCAACATTTCTTGCACTATATAAGACCTCACAAGCATATTCATAGGTGTATTCGAAAGTGTTTATGTAATTCATTAATAGAAGTCTAAACGAAAGTTTGAGACTGCAGTAAAATCTCTCTTCCTGATGTTAGTACCAAATGTGTTTTTGATCAATCTAATAAGCATTCAGTTTTATTAGAGATGGAAAATGTTTTTTTATTATTCTTATTTGGAGGGTTTGAGCTTGAAGTTTGGTAATCAGTCCTGTTTTGTCTCCAACTTTGTATTTAAAATTCAATGTTTTTACTCTGGCTTACTTTTAATGTCTCTTTCTCCAAGTAGATTGAACTTTGGGGTTACTATTTTAAATAGACTTAACTTCAAATGTATTTGTAAATTGTATGGCCTGATTAAGAATCTTGGTATATTGAAATGTAAATCTCCCCCAGATCCCCCAAAAATCTGCTTTATGGAGCTTAAGTTATAGCTAAGGTAATACATACAATACATCCCCTTATTTATTAAGGGGAAATATTATTTATTTAATAAAATAAATAAGGAAATTATAGTATGCAAGGTGGAAAATAAAACAGAGATGAGTGATCAGGATTATTGGGGGTGAGGTGCTTCATATGTCAAACTGAGGAAGGAAACTGAGGCACGGCTTGAACGATAAAGAGTTTATTTGAGCCAAATTTGAGAGATTGCAGCCCAGGAAACATCTCCATGTTACCTTGGGAAGTGCTCCAAGATACGAACAGAGCTTCAGCATTTTTATAATCACAAAAGGGGAGGAGAAGGTACAACCCCTTTATCAGGGGTTGTCTAGCATGACTTGAGTTTGTGATTGGTTAATGGTTGTATCTGGCTTTTTAAACAATTGTTAAATCCATACATAAGGGTCACATCATCCACTTTAACATTCTTTAGGTTAGTTTATAGCTCTATGGGCTGACACCATGTTTGGACTCTAGGCCTAGAGCAAACGACTTAGCAACGTTCCAGGATATGGGGGACTTGACTAGTGCCCCACACTCAACCTCCCAGGGCCTTGGGAATTTAGCTAACCTCAGTTATTGATGCTAGAGCAATTTTCAATTCATCAAATTTTAAACAGTATTGAAGGGACTGGCTGGTTGCTCAGTTGTTTTAGAGCCTGGTGTTGTAACACCAAGGTCAAGTGTTCTGATCCCCGTACAGGCCAGCTGCCAAAAAAGTAAATTAATTAATAAAATAAAATAAAATAAAGAGTATGAGAAAGGAAGCCCTCACTGAGAAGGTGGCTTTCTAGTAAAGACCTGAAAGGTGAAGGCAGAGACATGGTTATAAGACATCCAAGTAAATAGGCAGCTGGATCACTGTCTGGATTTCAGGAAGAATATCCAGGCTGTAAATATGAATTTGAGACTTGAAGCAAATAGTCATGTTCTACTTAAGTCTTTCAGGAAAAACAAAACAGTGACTTCCACGGATTTACTCGGGAAGTATGTGTCTAGGTATTTGATTTCTGGGGATTTGATTATTAGAATCTGTTATATTTTACTTAAACTTAGAGAAATATATAATTTACTCAAGTGTTCTAAGACAGAGTATGTGTTTTTTGCTTAAACTCACTCCACTGGGGTCGGGGTTGTGGGTAGGGGTGGGTATTTCATTAGAAAGGGACATGATTTCAAATACCCTCAATAATTAAGTCACTCTGAGCCTTATGAACATGGGAATACAATGATTTCTCTCTTTGCACAGAGTGTAGCAAGGGCAATAGAGAAATATTTCATTTCTCCAGAAGCATCAGGGAAAAGGTGTTACTTAAAAAAATGGATATAGCAATACATTTTCTAACAGGACTGGTTTTTATTGCATGCTTTGTCTTAAAATGTTTTATGTCCTTTGGCTAAGTCCTTATTCTGGCTTCAATATGTCCCTTCCCTGTTACTCCTTTGCACTTTTCACCAGCTTTGTAGCCTCATAACTGGTTTTATAAGGCCCAATTAAGGACGGGCCCAATCAATGTTTACTTGATTTTTGAGAGCCTTGTGGGTGAATGCAGGAGGCTGTCCCTCTGGCCTTAGAGTTAGGAAAGGTGTCCTCCAAAGTTGCTGAGTGAAGAAACCCCTTCTCTGCCCCTTAGAGAATTCAAGCTACAACTGCCCATTGTGCTCCTCCAGGCTGCAAATTGCTTCGCTGGAGGGGGTAGCTGACTGTGTGTGGCTTCAGGAGCCCCTCAGAACCAGTTGCAATGGCTTGCCGAGAGCTGCAGCAGCTGTGTGAGAGAGAAAAGAATGCCCGGATACAAGGAGCAGCCCTGGCTCCTCGGCCACCTGGGCCCTGGTTTTATTCAGAGCTACACAACCATTTCTGAAGAGCATTGTAAATACACATAGACTGGGGTGAGACATCCTCCTTATCCTGAACAAATCAAGAATTCCCTCACTTGGGGTTTATAGGAGCCTGCTCTCCAAACGGTACCAAACTTTTCAAAGCAACTACCTGTAGAGACATCAGGGTGAAAAAGTCAGGTCCTCCTTTTAACCATACAGATACTCTGGCTAAACAGTGTGTATATAAAATATTAAGCCAAATTCTTGGCTAAATCCGGTCTGCCCTGATTTTATTAATTTCTTTATTTGGAAAAAAAAATGCTACTCAGAAGCAATAATCCCTCAGACTAGAAAATTGACAGATGTGATTAAAGAGATCAGCTAGTTTCTAGAGATTTTCCACTTGTGTTTTTTTCTTAGTATGTAATAGTAAACAGGTATTATTCTTAATTTAAAGTGATTTAGCTGATAATGATATCACTTAATGCAGAAAAATTATAGAGCTCTCCGTACCTAGGTGTGAATCTGACAGCAGTACCTGCTCATCGCTCTTTTCCAGGGTAAAGAGCTGTCTCTCTCAAAAGCCAAGAGAACTTGAAGTTGGATGCAACTTCTGCAATTTCAAGGCATCTTTTTATTATAGGAAACTGACTTTGTTTATATGATGCCATAATAACTTTCAATTCAGATATAGCTGACCCAGTTTCTAGTGAAATTACCTGGACAATTCAATCGATTATAAAAAGGGACCCCCATACCTACTCCTTTTCCACAGGGTGCCTATTAGCAGGTTAGTTATGACATAAATAATTCAGGAGGAGGCTTCTGGAAGCAAATTCCTGTTACATTGGTGCCTGGGACTGTTTCATAGCATCTCTTCTAAAATATAACAGTGCTATAATATAAGGTCAGTGGTATTAATCCGATTTCTTCACCCCACCTATACATAGTCATCATGTAGCTTTCTTTTCTTTGAACATCT